GGAGAACCCTTTGGAAGAGCGGTGATCGTAAGGTAAGACATTTAAATCTTGAGCAGACTTGACGTGTACATGTATTCGTACGAGAACGAGATTTTTCGACTTTCGGTTTGAAATTTGACGGAACGGATACCCGATTATTTTCAGCTGGCAGTTCCAAAAATTCCAAGGCCCCTAGACTGCCCTATCACACAGCATGAGGTCGCGCATTCTTTTAGGCGCCTCAAGAATGGACGTGCATGTGGCCCTGACGATCTACCAGCAGAGCTCCTGAAGTATAGCGGACCCGCGACAGCCAAGCTAATATCATCAAGTCTCAACAACGTTTTCGAAACACACCAAGGCATCGAAGTCGGCAAAGGCACCCTCATTCCGTTGCAGAAGCCGGGAAAGCTCAAGGGCCCTACTGCTAATCTCCGTCCGATCATCCTGCTCCCATCACTCAGGAAAAGCCTTTCTCTCGTTATCTTGAACAGAATCCGTCCAAGAGTGGAGAAGTACCTTTCACCCGGGCAGTCCAGCTTTCGCTGCAACAGGTCGACGGCGGATGTAGTCTGGTGCCACAGGTGGCTTTCGTCGATTGTGGAGAGACTCAGTTCAGAAATTCATGTCCTCGGCCTTGATTTCAGCAAGGCATTTGATACTGTGAACAGAGAGAAGCTCCTACAAGTACTCAGCAGTGAGCAGATTGCTAATGACGACGAGGTACGCATCATTCGATACCTCATGGCCAACACGACACTTGAGGTGAAGATAGAATCACCTAAGTCTCCTGAATTTCCAACCACAAAGGGAATACCACAAGGAGACGGACTTTCACCTGTACTGTTTACGGTATACCTCGAAGCTGCACTACGTGATCTTCGATCAGCACTACCACCAAGACCGACTGCCGATGCGCAGTTACCACTGGAAACAACATATGCCGAAGACGCTGACTTCATATCAACGTCCCACATATACCTCCGTCAGCTTCTGGCACTTGCAGAGGACATCTTCGACAAGTCGGACCTGAAAGTCAATGTTTCTAAAACGGAATGGGTCAGGATGTACCTAGAGCCAGTTTCAGAAGCAGCAGTGCACCACACAACTGCACGTCGTCAAGAGCTATGGAGAGGCAGCAGGACTCTGGGCTCTCTGTTTGGCACTGCACACGATGTGACACGCAGGATTGGTCTTTCTGCTGTGGCATTTGGTCGAATGAAGGCGATCTGGTTTCGGCGGCAACATCTACAAACTAACACCATGGTACCACTCTACAACGTATACGTTCTTCCTATCCTCACGTACAATATTGGCTGCGCAGGCCTCTCTAAGGCATTGGAAGACTCCCTGGATAAGATCCATCGCAAGCAACTTCGGCATATGCTTGGTATCTTCTACCCTCGTGTCATGTCGAATGATGACCTGTATGAGCTTGCTCACACTGAGCCAATATCCGCTATGGCAAAGCGAGCGAGATGGCGTCTGCTTGGACACATCCTACGCCAGCCATCATTGACACCAGGCAATCAAGCAATGATTGCATAAGCATCAATGGAGGACGCTGTGAGGCACAGGAGGGGAGCTCCAAGGTTCTGTTTAGTCACCACCCTCCAGCAAGACGTCAAGTTCACCGCCGTCGCATTGAAGACGAGCCGGCACCTCGAAACCCTCAGAAGTTGTGCAGTTGACCGGCAGAAGTGAAGTAACATTTGTTCTGCGGTGGTGTGAACACACATGGCCGGCTGTGATTTTGGTGTGGACACACATGACCGACTTTGATGATCAATGATTTCATTTCATTTATCTTATTTTATTTTTTATAATTTTATTTTTTTAAGAAAGAGCTTTGCTGATGTGGTGTATTGGAACTCATGTGAAATCTACACCGTGATTGTTTTCGTCAAATATTATATCTTCTCTTTTCTCTCTTTGCCGCAGTGCTTTTTGTCACTCCATTGTCGTGAGTTCCCTTTGGAACGTAGTCGAGAATTATTATTATTATTATTATTATTATTGTAAAAGAGAAAAGGACATATGGATACGAGTTTAGAGTAACTCTCCATCACTGTAACATGATACTATATACAGTCAGAAAGTGCAATAACTAGGCACAAAACTGACAGAGTACTGAGACATTCGACGTCCTGACACCTAACTTTAACACATCTCCGTAGCGCTAACCGACAGCCTTCCAACTTGGAAGGTTCAAGGTTATGGAAAGACCAAAGAGGGGAAGGCAAGCGCAACGAAAACGAGCAAAAGCTACAGTCCCAACGGAACAAAGAATGTCGATTGTTACTGGACGATGACGAGACCAGTACGATATTTGACAAAGCGGTCTAACTACAATTCGAAGCAGCAAAGCAGCACACCACCCAACTTGGGTGGGTCATAAATATCAAAGATAAGTAAAGAAAGGGAAGCTTTGCGAAAACGAATTGTACAAGCCGAAAGCCAAACTCCTACAGTACTCCTCATGCATGACATTGTGATGGACTAGTTGACTACAAAACAAGTTGTATTACACGACATCAACATCAACATCAACATCCGAGTTTCAAATTGCACACCTGATGAGCCGTCACGAACCATACGGCGAAACGTACGTCGTGTGAAACAACTTGTTTTGTAGTCAACTAGTCCATCACAATGTCATGCATGAGGAGTACTGTAGGAGTTTGGCTTTCGGCTTGTACAATTCGTTTTCGCAAAGCTTCCCTTTCTTTACTTATCTTTGATATTTATGACCCACCCAAGTTGGGTGGTGTGCTGCTTTGCTGCTTCGAATTGTAGTTAGACCGCTTTGTCAAATATCGTACTGGTCTCGTCATCGTCCAGTAACAATCGACATTCTTTGTTCCGTTGAGACTGTAGCTTTTGCTCGTTTTCGTTGCGCTTGCCTTCCCCTCTTTGGTCTTTCCATAACCTTGAACCTTCCAAGTTGGAAGGCTGTCGGTTAGCGCTACGGAGATGTGTTAAAGTTGGGTGTCAGGACGTCGAATGTCTCAGTACTCTGTCAGTTTTGTGCCTAGTTATTGCACTTTCTGACTGTATATAGTATCATGTTACAGTGATGGAGAGTTACTCTAAACTCGTATCCATATGTCCTTTTCTCTTTTACATTTATTTATGGCTCAACATCCGAGTTTCAAATTGCACACCTGATGAGCCGTCACGAACCATACGGCGAAACGTACGTCGTGTGAAACAACTTGTTTTGTAGTCAACTAGTCCATCACAATGTCATGCATGAGGAGTACTGTAGGAGTTTGGCTTTCGGCTTGTACAATTCGTTTTCGCAAAGCTTCCCTTTCTTTACTTATCTTTGATATTTATGACCCACCCAAGTTGGGTGGTGTGCTACTTTGCTGCTTCGAATTGTAGTTAGACCGCTTTGTCAAATATCGTACTGGTCTCGTCATCGTCCAGTAACAATCGACATACTTTGTTCCGTTGGGACTGTAGCTTTTGCTCGTTTTCGTTGCGCTTGCCTTCCCCTCTTTGGTCTTTCCATAACCTTGAACCTTCCAAGTTGGAAGGCTGTCGGTTAGCGCTACGGAGATGTGTTAAAGTTAGGTGTCAGGACGTCGAATGTCTCAGTACTCTGTCAGTTTTGTGCCTAGTTATTGCACTTTCTGACTGTATATAGTATCATGTTACAGTGATGGAGAGTTACTCTAAACTCGTATCCATATGTCCTTTTCTCTTTTACATTTATTTATGGCTCAACATCCGAGTTTCAAATTGCACACCTGATGAGCCGTCACGAACCATACGGCGAAACGTACGTCGTGTGAAACAACTTGTTTTGTAGTCAACTAGTCCATCACAATGTCATGCATGAGGAGTACTGTAGGAGTTTGGCTTTCGGCTTGTACAATTCGTTTTCGCAAAGCTTCCCTTTCTTTACTTATCTTTGATATTTATGACCCACCCAAGTTGGGTGGTGTGCTACTTTGCTGCTTCGAATTGTAGTTAGACCGCTTTGTCAAATATCGTACTGGTCTCGTCATCGTCCAGTAACAATCGACATTCTTTGTTCCGTTGGGACTGTAGCTTTTGCTCGTTTTCGTTGCGCTTGCCTTCCCCTCTTTGGTCTTTCCATAACCTTGAACCTTCCAAGTTGGAAGGCTGTCGGTTAGCGCTACGGAGATGTGTTAAAGTTAGGTGTCAGGACGTCGAATGTCTCAGTACTCTGTCAGTTTTGTGCCTAGTTATTGCACTTTCTGACTGTATATAGTATCATGTTACAGTGATGGAGAGTTACTCTAAACTCGTATCCATATGTCCTTTTCTCTTTTACATTTATTTATGGCTTAACATCCGAGTTTCAAATTATTATTATTAGTTCCAAAAATGGTTCCTTACCCGAACAGTTTCATCCCTAATAAAAAATATCAGCAAAAGAGGGAAGAAAACCGACAGACCGACCAGTATTTCTCTGGCCATGTTACCCGAAACAAAAGACTTTTTCGGTGCGGCCTCAAGGTGAATTATTTGACTTTTTCAGGTCTGGCAATTTTTAAAAAAAGCTTAGAAATAGCGAAGACATGAATGCAGATGGTGAGCCAATGCAATCTTGGATAAACAGGAAGGGCAGAAATGTTGCGAGTCATGACTAACTGTCCACCAAAGTAACCAGACCAAATAAAATCATCGAATACCACAACAATATATAAGACTAACAGGGAGTACTGAGAAATTCAACGACCTGGCATCTAGCTCCAACAGATCTACGAGGCGCAAACCAACAAGCCTCCAACTTGGAAGGCGCAAGTTTGGAAAGGTCCAAGAGGGGAGGGACAGCGCATCGAAGAAGAGCACAAGCTAAGTCCCACGGCAAGAAAGAATGCCGAAAGTTACTGGATGATGACGAAACTAAGCTAGTAAGACAATTGGACATACCGGTCTCACTATAACTCGACGCAACTTGCTGACTGTATATGATCTGGTTACGTTAGTGGACAGTTAGTCATAACTCGTAACATTGTGTCCTTTCTTTTAATCAATGATCTCACCGTTTGTACATTTCAGCGGAATGTGACATGGACCATCAGCACTACTGCACGTGTACGTAAATGATGTTGCATTCTGCTCTCCTGAACAGGAGTAGTATATCACTGTTGTAGTCTCTCTAACCACACCTACAGAATAGCAAATGAAATAAAGTGCACAGATATTACAATTCTATCATCGGCTATCACTGCACTGCCATTCGTATCCAGTAGGTGACTTCCACGGCTCACACTGTGCTCAATACCCGCACATCCACTGCTCACACTGCGCTCAATATCCAAACTTCCACTTCTCACACTGTGCTCAGTAGCCATGGACAGAGATTTCGAACAGAGAAGTCAGAGCAATTTGTTTACGGCAACTCAAAGTCCGATGGTAATACACAGGCAACATACTATTATCTTTAACTGATCAATTTGATTCAGATCGCATACCGGTAGAGCAGACTTGTGTAGAGTTGTGCCTTTGCAGCTCATGCCACGTATAGTTAATTCAGGAAAGCAAAGTATTTTAAAACTGATATACCACCCGAGGTTCCCTGGCAACGCATATTGAGGCCTTGAAAAAAACACCACCGCCACAGGCTCTAAATTGGCATATTTTCTCTTCTGGTGTGCTGATAGCCTGAGATAAGATAACGATGCTACAGTCATATTGTGGGGCTCACACACTAAAGAAATTTCATTCATGTTTCACCCAAGTAAGTTCAGACTTACTGCATGAAGACGAGGCATTCAGCAGAGTTAGAGTGTTTTCCATGGCAAGCGATGTTACATTGAGCAGTCGAATGACACCTATAGGTGTACTACCTCCAGCCAGTGTGATGCGGTTTGCTTGAAATAGTTTGTTGGTGACAACAGCTGTCAGCACTGCTGCAGTGCATGGACTACCAGATAGACTAAATGGTGGAAGATGCTGCAAAGGCGCATTTGTGCAGCTAGTGGCACTTTGTTGCAAGGTCAACTGAACTGTGCAGGGCAGGTTGAAGACAAAGCCTGGGTAGCCAGGTGCCGGTACACCATCCGGGGGAGAAAAGAAGATCGTCTCTGTGTTCATCGTTCCGCTTATCCCACCATTCAGCTGACTTAAACCTGGGTGTGATACAAAGCAACATATAACACAAGTAACATACAATGATTGTAGTTGTACTAGAGGTGATGAACTTGGGCCGACCAAATTGTCACTTTTCAGTCTGTGAAAGTGCAAACAGTGTGGTAGTTTCCATTGTGCAATGACGCTACACTGACTGATGCCCTCCATGATCCCTGCAAAAAGTCAAAGTATCGGCTTTCCAAAGCCGAATCAGACCTTGTGAAGCACTCCTGGAAGAATGTTACCCTCTAGGGCTCACTAACGGCTGTATTAGGAGTACAGGATACTGAGAGAGATCACAAAGAGATACAGAATGTACTCGTACTATGCTTGCGCTGAATCATAATACGGCCCGTAAGTTAGGCAGATTGTACAACTCGGGACAACAATTTATAAACATTGCATTTCCCCGATTGTAAGCCGTGCCTCAATTTTCAACTGTGAACCATAATTGTTTCAATATACTCACACAAGCAGGATAACATGTTTGATAGTAAGTGACATCCCTCTCTTGCCCAAAGCAGTAGCACTAGAAAGACGTGGAACTACATTCATTGCATTCACGGAAATTTCTCATGCCAACCAAGTACGTTGTGCACGATAACTGAGTGGCAGTAAACCAGGCATAGTATTCCCTTCGTACTACACTCAAACGCCTCTTATCCGGACGCCTCAGATACGGGCAAGTCTCTCTACCGGGCACCTTCAGCTTGAGTTCCTATCACAAATGCTTCGAACTTTGGGGTTTGGAACTTTTCCGTATGTGGAAGTGCTTATTTTTCACTGCCAACCTATGTAATCCACATATTTTTATCAATGGGTTCCTTTTGTATCTTGAACATGTGCAATATATACCTTCCAAATAAACTTCTTCAAAAAATGATTATGACACATGGTAGACAAGTTATCCTGAGATACGGGCAAATCTGAGATATGGGCAGTGCCCGGTCCCAAGGTGCCCGGATAAGAGACGTCCGAGTGTACTGATAAATGCAGCAGGCAACATAATATTGCCGTTGGGTTGGGAGCTGACGATGGGGTCTTCGGATACTCTCACTCACATACCCACAACTCACAAGAACAGTTTCTTATTCTGATTGCAAGAAGTTGAGGAAGAAGGCAAGCACACTTCCGCAAGAGAAAATGGTAATATCATGCATACACGCATGCACGTAGTGGGCACACAGCTGCGAACCCCGCACGCAGCGCAACGCCAACAGGGACTTCATAGGTATATGCCAGAGGCTGTCAAAACATTGACATTGGTCTGCACGCTAGAAGTCACCTTACCAGAATTCATGCCAATTTCCTTTGTCCAGCCACTGGTAAAGTTGAGGAATATGCAGCTATCGTCTTGTGCATCACATGTGAATGTTATACCTAAATATGACATAGGATAGAGCACACAGAATTAGAGAAGCTAATTCACTGAAAAATATCTCACGAAACCTAGGCTAAGACTTACTAGCACTAACTTTAGTTCTTATCACCCAATATTCTTCAAAGTAAGTCCATCGCGTATTGCCAGATATGGAATTTATGAATAATGCATGCGAGTATGCTGGGATCCAGGGTGCATTGTTCACCACTTTGGCCAGCACCCTACACAACCATGCCCATGTGGCTGTTTGGGGCATTAGTGGTCCAAACTATTTGTGCAATGGGCTTATTCAATAGGACTTACAACTTTCTGCCACTGCATGTGCTCTCTGCCAGAACTCTAGGCCGCAGAGTGTCGAGAACTGCCGTTCACGAATATTTGAAATACATATAAATTTAGTGTTCACGTCTTACTTGAACTTCCTGTAGTTTCAGTCTGCAACTCCGTCGTCTTTCTCCTTTTCTAACTCAGTCTTTCCATTATCTGACAGTGGTGCTCTCACCCTAGCTAGGTGCAAGCACCCTCCGCCAGACGCGAACTACATTCTTGTTACTCTAAAGACTCTCAAATATATTTCTTCTTCGCGTTCACTTTCGTTCTGCAGTTTATTTATTTATTTTCCTTTCTTTCTACCTCGTGGTACACGCGCTACATGCACCACCATCTTTGTTTCCATGGCACCACAGTGCACCTGACCACGCGATCGCTACGCACCTCAGGCCCGAATGGGTCTGGGTGCGCTGCGTCGCGATTTATTTGGCCTCGCTTGCTTCCGAGCACCGCCGTTTTCGGAGCGTACTGATTGTGCGTCTCAGTTCTTTTCTCCGTTGTTTGTATCACCTTGGTATTGGTTATTCTTCTTCTTGACTGAAGTGTAGTTGATGAATGAACGATGGTGGTTTGTGTTGTAGTAGTGTGAGTGTGTGCATGGTTGGAAAGGTCTTCTACATTCTATAATCAAATCGATAAGATTTTGACACAGAGACCATGCTTGCAATGATGACAAGTTTATTGTGAAACAATCATGAACACAAGGAACTTACCGGAAGGTACCGATGTTGGTGGTTGAGCAGTTCCCAGAGGGGTTGCTCTATCATTGGTTGTGGAAGACTGGGTTGTTGCAGCTCCAGTTGTTGGAGCTTGGGTTGTTGGAACTTGAGTTGTTGGCAATTCGGTTGTTGGCGCTTGTGTTGTTGGTGCTTGAGTTGTTGGTGCTTGAGTTGTTGGTGCTTGCGTTGTTGGTGCTTGTGTTGTTGGTGCTTGAGTTGTTGGTGCTTGTGTTGTTGGTGCTTGAGTTGTTGGTGCTTGAGTTGTTGGTGCTTGTGTTGTCGGTGCTCGAGTTGTTGGTGCTTGAGTTGTTGGTGATTGTGTTGTTGGTGCTTGAGTTGTTGGTGCTTGAGTTGTTGGTGCTTGTGTTGTTGGTGATTGTGTTGATGGTGGCTGTGTTGTTGGACTTGCGGCTTGTGTTGTTTGTGCTGGTGTTGTTTGTGCTTGGGTTGTTGGCGCTTGGGTTGATGGTGCTTGTGTTGTGGGTATTTGAGTTGTTGGTGATTGCGTTGTTGGTCCTTGAGTCATTGCGGCTTGGGTTGTTGGTACCAAAGTTTCATTTGTGACTTCTACATAATAGGACAATAAATAGCAAAGACAAAATTGAAATCGACTCTTTACGCATTCATACCATGGTCACATCTATTGTGATTTGTTGTTGTTGTTGTTGTTGTTGTTGTTGTTGTTGTTGTTGTTGTTGTTGTTGTTGTTGTTGTTGTTGTTGTTGTTGTTGTTGTTGTTGTTGTTGTTGTTGTTAATGTTGTTGTTAATGTTGTTGTTAATGTTGTTGTTGTTGTTGTTGTTGTTGTTGTTGTTGTTGTTGTTGTTGTTGCTGCTGCTGCTGCTGCTGCTGCTGCTGCTGCTGCTGCTGTTGTTGTTGTTGTTGTTGTTGTTGTTGTTGTTGTTGTTGTTGTTGTTGTGTTTATTTTAATTCGCAAACCAAACGGGCAGATCTGCCCAATGGAAAGGTGGCGAATGCAGATAGAAAGCAGTAATTAATGAAATTGGGGAGGGATGTAATAAGGATAGAGGTGGAGAGAAACTAAGCCAGCTGATCATCTATCAAACAAAACATTTCACTTCAAAGCACACAGAATTAGTATGATTATAATAGTCCACATCCCATATGCACATACAAGGTGCTACACAACTGTACAGAACCCAAATGCACAGAGCACAGAGTACGGCGGCATGTAGGTACTGGCTGCAGTTGAGGCAATATGTTTCAACATACTTGGTAGAACACATGAAACAAACACAAATAGGAAGAGAGATTGGCTAGACCTTAGAGATTGGCTAGACCTCAGAGATTGACTCAACATGAAGCACAAGTGATTGGCTCAGCATAGAGCAGGGAATATGTACTGGTATATTGTCTTCCAAAGTCGATATTTTGTTGATCATGCTAATGTCTAGTTCATCACATTTCAGACCAGCATTAGTACCGTATTTTACGGGGTATAAGCCGCACTTTTTTTTCGCTAAAAATCGGACCAAAATCGCCCCTGCGGCTTATACACCGAATATGCTTGCGCGAATGAATGCTTAGCATACATCAGTATGGATGCTGACGTCATGTGACATGTCATTCGACTCAGCTTCGCGCCTGTGTTGCTATCCCGGCACTTTTACTAGTTTTAGTGCATCAGTGGCAGCGAGACTGAAGATAGTGCAGATGACATGGAGTGATCTGTAGTCAACACAGCAATACACCAACATCTCTGCAGCAACCTGTGGTGCACTAACACTTCATGATCTGATCTAACATGGTATTTAGCTCCATAACCATACTAAATTTGTAGAAAGGCCATTTGTCAATTAGTGTGAAAAATCTTGGTTTGTGGGTGCGGCTTATACTCCGAATACCAACTTTTAGTCAATATTTTGCCTCAAAAAGGGGGTTCGGCTTATACCCCGGTGCGGCTTATACCCCGGAAAATACGGTAGTTAGTGTGCGGTTCATAACATGTATACGAGACCACTATAATCTAGTAGCAATGTGTGTATGATTTCTCACAGTTTAGAGAAGCGTGGAGTCATACGCAAGGAAGAGGACATGGTGGCTCACAAGGAAACCCTACTAACATAATTCAGTTTTCAAATGTCTAGAGTAAGTACAGTACTGCTCAATGAAATCCGATCGCAAGAAGCAAGTCTGTGCACTGCACCTGTGTTCACATACCAGTGTTTGCAGGTCTAGGGCTGCACAGTGCCCGGCGTGGCACTAGCTCCCTTGGTCGGATTTTCATTGAGCAGCGCTTTATTTACTAACGGCAGCTGAGAAGGATGGACAAAATTCTGCCGCAAAGTGTCCAGACTTGCTATACCGTATTTCTGCGGAATGCATGCATTACTTACTGCATGATGATGTAGCATTCCACAGATTTAGAGTGTTTCCAGCTGCGAGTGATGTTACATTGAGCAAATGAATGACATCTACTGGGTCACTGCTTCCTCCCAGCTGAACTTGATTAGCTCTAAATAGACTGTCCGTTACATCAGCTTGAAGTACTGATATAGATGGAGAACAGAGTCCACCAGCAACACTGAATGAAGGCAGGGAATTTAGTGAAGCAGCCATGCACGCACCGGATGCATTTTGCTGCAATACCAGCCTGACTGTACATGGCAAGTTGAACACATAACCGGAGAGATTGGGCACAGGTGCACCTTGCGGAGAGGCAAAGTAGATAGTCTCCACGCCTGTGAATCCACCACTCAACTGGCTTACACCTTGAATGGCCCAGCAGTACAGAGAAGAAAAGCAACACAACAACTATGTGGTCTGGTGACATTGTGCCTGGAACATCTAGCAAAGGTGGAGTGTCTTGAATGTCTAGTAGTGCTGGAGTGCTCGGAAGATTTGCCGGAGATGTCTCCCGCTCGCTTTCCGAGAATGCTATTCTACCTGGAATCTTCTCCTAAAAAGTCCCTTCACATCCACCTCTGAGGCACAAACCTTGCTGAAACTTGGACTATCACTCCACAGCTAGTCCATTAACAAGTTATATCCTCATATATAGGATTTCTTCGACTCAGTTAGCAAAGTCATTTTCAAGATGAAGTTAACAGTGCTATTACATTTTTTTTAAAGCACTGGAATGCAAACCCAATTAAATTATGGTAAAATAGGAGAAGGACAAATTGTTACGAGTTATGACTAACTATCCACCAACGTAACCACATCTTATACAGTCAGCGAGTGCAACAAAATGGTACAAAACTGACAAGGAGTACTGAGACATTCGGCGACCTGACACCTTGCTCCAACACTTCTCCAAGGCTCAGTACTCCTTGTCAGTTTTGTGCCATTTTGTCGCACTCGCTGACTGTATAAGATCTGGTTACATTGGTGGACAGTTAATCATAACTCGTAACATTTTGTCCTTCTCCTATTTCACCATAATTTAATTGGCTAACCATCCGAGTTGAACCCACTAAATCCAGTTTGTCAGTTTTCAGTACGTCCCCAAATCTGAATTAGGTCACTGAGTGCTTTCAGCTCATACCCTGGTTCAATGATTTCTTTATCATTGGTTATGCATTCCAACTCGTTTGCACCTTACAGTGTGCTAACTACATTTCGTTAGTGGGATGGTGATTTAAATAACAGAGCAAATGTTTCCAGAAAAGCACTTACCAGAATTCATGCCACTGCCCTTGCTCCATCTGCTTGTGAAGTCCAGGAAGCCACAACCACCATCTTGCGTTTGTGAGTCACACATTGTTGTCATACCTAGGATGAAACAAGTGCAGGAACGCGAATATTTGTGTAAGCAAACAACGATAATTATCCATGAACAGCAATACACACCCGTAGTGAGGAGGTTACATACAGAAACCACCCATGTTCATTCTGCGCACATATACATGAACTAACTGCTGCATTGTTTTTTGTGATCTTCCTGAATCATGTCTCGACCCCTTCTCCACCACGGTCTTACACTAAAACCGTCGTAAATATAATATCTCTCCTGATTTAATCCCTGATGAAGCCCCAAGGCCAACAATTTGGAGAGACATGAAATTTCCGACGATTGCAGTGTAAGGCCATGGTGGATAGGGAGATTGAGACATGACTAATTGGCTCCAGTGGAGCCTCTGCATATCGTAGAAGGTACTTCCTGAATCAGTCAATGTCAGGCCAGGTGCTGTGCAGCTAAGCCCAGACCAGTGAGCACTTGCATGTGCACCGTAGTGTGTGGGGTGTAAGTTAGACTCACATGAGAGGATTTCACTGTAGAAGGGATGTGCATTTTTGTTCTGATAACACAGCAGGGGACCTGGCGGAGTTTGCCTGCTGAGTATGGTAATTGAAAAATGGCGAGCATGCGAGAGTTTGGTTGGAAACAGAGCATGCGCATTCTGTGTTAACATATTTTTACTACAAATACGCAACAACTTATTTCACATTAATCCATTATTTCACGACTCTTTGTTTCAATTTGTGCCCATTTTGTGCAAAAAGAAGTATTTTGTGGACAGCTCATCATCATTGGACTCTCCAAACGTACGCTTCCTATACATGTAGATACGTATTGGAGGTGCCAGAGATAGGTTTGTTCTGGACACTGCCAGAGATAGGTTTGTTGTGAACACTGCCAGAGATAGGTTTGTTCTGGACACTGCCAGAGATAGGTTTGTTGTGAACACTGCCAGAGATAGGTTTGTTCTGGACACTGCCAGAGATAGGTTTGTTGTGGACACTGCCAGAGATAGGTTTGTTGTGGACACTGCCAGAGATAGGTTTGTTCTGGACACTGCCAGAGATAGGTTTGTTCTGGACACTGCCAGAGATAGGTTTGTTGTGGACACTGCCAGAGATAGGTTTGTTGTGGACACTGCCAGAGATAGGTTTGTTGTGGACACTGCCAGAGATAGGTTTGTTGTGGACACTGAGACATTTTAACAACATGGCGCATCTTTCTTGAATGTGACACTTTTTCATGCCCAGGAGCAAAAATAAGTCAACCAATTGTTTTCCTAGTGCCCTCACTATGGAGACTACCTTGATTAAGGCTAGGATGTGTGGAGGATCTATAAACACAAAATAATCCACAAAAGTTGGCGGATAAAAGGCATGTACAGCATATGTAGGGAGTGCACCACTCCAATTGAACCCCAAGCTACATCTCTGAACTATCTACAACCATGCAATGTATCTCATAACAAGGTCAATGGAAGATACTTACTTGACGGCAATGTGGATATCACTGTTGTGGGAGATGTGGTTGTGGGTGCTGGGGTTGTCCTTGCTGGGGTTGTTGGTGTTGCAGTTGTGGTTGCTGAAGTTGTGGTTGCTGAAGTTGTGGGTGTTGCAGTTGTGGTTGCTGAAGTTGTGGTTGCTGAAGTTGTGGGTGCTGCAGCTGTGGGTGCTGCAGTGGTGGGTGCTCGGGTTGTGGGTGCTGGGGTGGTGGGTGCTGCAGTTGAGGGTGATGTGGTTGTCGGTTCAGCGGTTTTTGGTTCTGCAGTATTGGGTGATGCGGTTGAGGGTGCTACAGGTGTGGGTACTGCGGTTGTGGGTCCTGTGGTTGTGCGTCCTGCAGGTGTGGGTGATGCTGTTGTGGGTGCTGCGGTTGTGGGTCCTGCGGTCGAGGGTGCTGCGGTTGAGGGTGCTGCGGTTGTGGGTCCTGCGGTTGTGGGTCCTGCGGTTGTGGGTCCTGCGGTTGTGGGTCCTGGGGTTGTGGGTCCTGGGGTTGTGGGTCCTGCGGTTGTGAGTGCTGCGGTTGTTGGTCCTGCGGTTGTGGGTCCTGCAGTTGTGGGTCCTGCGGTTGTGGGTCCTGCGGTTGTGGGTCCTGCGGTTGTGGGTCCTGCGGTTGTGGGTCCTGCGGTTGTGGGTCCTGGGGTTGTGGGTCCTGGGGTTGTGGGTCCTGTGGTTGTGAGTGCTGCGGTTGTGGGTGCTGCGGTTGTGGGTGCTGCGGTTGTGGGTCCTGCAGTTGTGGGTCCTGCGGTTGTGGGTCCTGCGGTTGTGGGTCCTGCGGTTGTGGGTCCTGCGGTTGTGGGTCCTGGGGTTGTGGGTCCTGGGGTTGTGGGTCCTGGGGTTGTGGGTCCTGTGGTTGCGAGTGCTGCGGTTGTGGGTGCGGTTGTGGGTCCTGCAGTTGTGGGTCCTGCGGTTGTGGGTCCTGCGGTTGTGGGTCCTGCGGTTGTGGGTCCTGGGGTTGTGGGTCCTGGGGTTGTGGGTCCTGTGGTTGTGTGTGCTGCGGTTGTGGGTGCTGCGGTTGTGGGTGCTGCGGTTGTTGGTCCTGCGGTTGTGGGTCCTGCAGTTGTGGGTCCTGCGGTTGTGGGTCCTGCGGTTGTGAGTTCTGCGGTTGTGGGTGCTGCGGTTGTGGGTGCTGCGGTTGTGGGTCCTGCAGTTGTTGGTCCTGCGGTTGTGGGTCCTGCAGTTGTGGGTCCTGCAGTTGTGGGTCCTGCGGTTGTGGGTCCTGCGGTTGTGAGTTCTGCGGTTGTGGGTGCTGCGGTTGTGGGTGCTGCGGTTGTGGGTCCTGCGGTTGTGGGTCCTGCGGTTGTGAGTCCTGCGGTTGTGAGTCCTGCGGTTGTGAGTGCTGCGGTTGTGAGTGATGCGGTTGTGGGTCCTGCGGTTGTGGGTCCTGCGGTTGTGGGTCCTGCGGTTGTGGGTCCTGCGGTTGTGGGTCCTTGGGTTGTGGGTCCTGGGGTTGTGGGTCCTGTGGTTGTGAGTGCTGCGGTTGTGGGTGCTGCGGTTGTGGGTGCTGCGGTTGTTGGTCCTGCGGTTGTGGGTCCTGCAGTTGTGGGTCCTGCGGTTGTGAGTCCTGCGGTTGTGAGTGCTGCGGTTGTGAGTGATGCGGTTGTGGGTCCTGCGGTTGTGGGTCCTGCGGTTGTGGGTCCTGCGGTTGTGGTTGCTGGGATTGTGGTTGCTGCGGTTGTGGGTCCTGCGGTTGTGGTTGCTGGGATTGTGGTTGCTGCGGTTGTGGGTGCTGGGATTGTGGTTGCTATGGTTGTGGGTGCTGGGATTGTGGTTGCTAGAGTTGAGGGTGCTGCAGGTGCGGTTGATGGAGGTGTGGTTGCTGCGGTTGTGGCTGTTGTAGTTGCTGACATACTTCCTGGAGAGGTTAGCATCTCGGTGGATGTTGCATCCAATTGCCCGGGTAGCGAAGTCTGAACTATTAGTTGTAAAGTGGTCAATCCGGTTTGTACCGTTGTTTTTGTTTTTATTCCTGCCGTTTGACTCATCATCTCTGTGGAGTATAGAACACGTTTGTGCAGGCAAAGTACCCATGAGTTTCACACCTCACTCAAATGCATGCAGCACACCTTGCACTTTCACTTGTCTCTTCTGTTGACTGCATGCTCTTGCTTCTGAGCACACTTCTACCCTATTGCAGTCAAGCTCGCCAGCCAGGATAGCACTGTTGGCTAGTTTTAGCGGCTGTATACGGGTCAGATATTGCACTAAAAGTCAGTCGTTGGTCGAGCAAGCCAGATGGTTGCTGCGCCCGTTGCAGTTTCTGCGCAGAACTGTCCGTGCATTGAAATGCGGTCATTAAAATCAGCTGGTTGCTTAAACCAGATTCTACTGTACCCTAGTGTCTCATTTTTGCCGAAATTTCATCCTCGGAGGATTATACTTGGGAATATTCTTGATTATGAGTATCCTAACTTATGGTTAGACTCGGGTGGAGAGCCAAGGATGAATTTATAAGAAGAAAGAGGACCAAAGAGCTACAGTTTAGCGGATATTATAGCGTAACTTGTAGCTCTTTGGTACCCTTTCTTCTTATCTTATAGTAGCGACTTCAGTCCAAAATTCTAAAATCGGAATTAGGGCCAACAAATTACACGACTGGAACGAGAAACCTCTGCAGAGCGTACACAGAATATTTCAAGGTGAGGTGTGAAAAAACTAAAGTGGGAGAGAAGACGAAAGAAATTAGAAGAAAAGATGTGAGAGTGTTCCCGACGGTGTGAGCTACTACATAAGGTGAGTGAAATGAAGGCGTGGAAGCAGGTGAATGTGATAGAGTGAGGAACTGTGAGGTGTAGGTGTATGCAAATGAATACGTGTGTGAATGCTAGGTGAAGAGTCTCAGTTTTGTGACATTTTCTTTCTGAATGCATAGATTAGGATTGTGTTTACGGATGAAAACAGCTTCTAATACCTTAAGTTCACGAAACCTACGAGCACGACACAAAACAGTGAAGCATGAATCATCATACACTGAGCGGCATTGGCTACTAGACATGAGGTGTTTCTTAATGGCTGACCCTTTCGTTGTGGTCTCACCTTCAGTCCGGTCATCTTCATCTTGGTTGTCCAACTCACTCTCTTCATCACTGCTCTCACCTTCCTCATCCTCTTCCTCTTCCATCCCGTCCTCTGCACCCAACGACAATCCCACGCTACTGCTCGCTGCCAGTCCATGTCCGGTTGTAGATGTCATTACCAGCGCACGAGTCATGCTCCTTGTTACTGGTCTCCGTACCTGTGTTTGGCCATTTCCTTCAGTCTCACGTACCTGTGTACTTGTAGTACGTTCAACCGGTACTGTGTGGTTCTGTTGTAATTGGAAATGGAAGGAAATGGCCAAACACAGGTACGGAGACCAGTAACAAGGAGCATGACTCGTGCGCTGGTAATGACATCTACAACCGGACATGGACTGGCAGCGAGCAGTAGCGTGGGATTGTCGTTGGGTGCAGAGGACGGGATGGAAGAGGAAGAGGATGAGGAAGGTGAGAGCAGTGATGAAGAGAGTGAGTTGGACAACCAAGATGAAGATGACCGGACTGAAGGTGAGACCACAACGAAAGGGTCAGCCATTTGGGCTGTGTTTACATGAGGCGTTTCAACCCGGGTTGAGTTCGACCCGGGTCAGATTTCAACCCCCCATGTGCACAAAGTGAATGGCGCGTTTACATGACGCATTGCGCTTGACCCGGGTTGAAATTTCGCCCCGGGTTGATTTCAACCCTCCCCCCAAGGGGAGGGTTGAAACCAACCCGGGTCAAGAAAATCGTACAAACGTACTTCTGTGCGTATCTCGCGCCAGGTTTGAACAGCACTGCACATGCAAATTTCGCGCGAACGGATTCACGTGACCATAGAGGACTGTAGAAGTGGACTTTTGGCGGCATATCAGTATTTGACCCGGGTCAACTGTCTTCATGTAAACGCTCACCTCTTTTGTCTATCGTACAGACTTTCAACCCGGGCTGAACTCGACCCGGGTTGAAATTTCTCATGTAAACACAGCCTAAGAAACACCTCATGTCTAGTAGCCAATGCCGCTCAGTGTATGATGATTCATGCTTCACTGTTTTGTGTCGTGCTCGTAGGTTTCGTGAACTTAAGGTATTAGAAGCTGTTTTCATCCGTAAACACAATCCTAATCTATGCATTCAGAAAGAAAATGTCACAAAACTGAGACTCTTCACCTAGCATTCACACACGTATTCATTCGCATACACCTACACCTCACAGTTCCTCACTCTATCACATTCACCTGCTTCCACGCCTTCATTTCACTCACCTTATGTAGTAGCTCACACCGTCGGGAACACTCTCACATCTTTTCTTCTAATTTCTTTCGTCTTCTCTCCCACTTTAGTTTTTTCACACCTCACCTTGTATACTTCCCACTATCCAATAACCTATAAGTAGTTTGTTTCTCCGTATAGACAGAATATTTCATTGGTATATCTTGTCCCAAACCTGAGATATCAGGCCCCAAAGTTGGTATGCAATCGTTGGAGCCCATGTATGCAATTGCATGCAGAGCGATGGCACAAAAGTGGGCTTCTCGGACCTCATGAATATCATGCATACACAGTGAATGTATGCGTGTTCTTGGAGGGTGACGGAGAAACCGTCGTACACATACATGTAGATGTTGGACGGGAAGTGCTCTGCTTCGATGCCGATGGATTGAAATAATCACCTCCTCACTGCTCAAGCACCTCCAGAATCTTGACGTGAAGAACATAATCATTACTAGCGGATTTACACGCCAAAGGTCTGCTTGCTCCGTCATGCAGAGCCCGTCAAAAATAGTGCACTCCATAGCCGACTTCAGCCGCTGCGCACAAATTCTTCAAACTGCTAAAAACGGCTACGGAGGAGAACCTTACCATGAACCCATCTAAACTAATTCGAGGGCTCTGAACACGATGGTGACTCGGTCATTGACGGGCAAGGTAGCTGAGATGCCGAAAGTTTGCTTTGAAAACTGAAAATACGGAGCGATATATCCAAAAATCGATGGCTCTTGACATGCGACACACCGTTGGAAAGCTATTCATGTGTGCTTGACCATCATGTAAAAATCGAAGGCGCCAGATACGTGAATAACGCGTAGGCAGGCGTAGAACGTCGAGAGAAAAATTGTTCTGTGCACGCCATGCTTGCACCATACATTCGTACGACGAAGGAGTTCTGCCTTTTGGTCACGTGATTGAAGTCGCTACTTATAGTTGGTCTTCTTCTTCTTTTCTTTTCTTTTACACTTTATGTCTTAGGGACCATCGCAAAAGTTCGCAGAAGCCCCTGAAACGAAGAGCATACGTTTGGGGGGGGGGGTGGGGGAGGGAGTCGGTGTCGAAAATCGCAAACCGGGCTTCAATTCAAAAAAGTATTGACGACATGTAGGAGCTGATATAGATAAGCATGCTCAAAGGATACAACTGCATAGCTCTAGCTGTTCTCGTTCTTAGATCACCCACTGCAAGGTGATATCATCGTTGCATTTATAAAGTGCTGTACATTGTTACACACTGATACAACAATGCTTGTGTAGTATATTATAATAATTATTATAATGTGAGCATCCAAGTGAAATAATGAAGCCCATATTGTGACTGTCGTTTCGTTTGAGGGGGGGAGGGAGGGGGGTCAGGCCCGAAAATAACGGTCTTCGTTTCGGGGGCTTCCGCGAACTTTTGCGATGGTCCCTTAGACCGTACGGTATGGGACATGTACGGGATAGCGCCAGACATGGCACGTTACGTGATCAGGTACTAGGGAATATTCTTGGTTATGAGTATACTACCAAAGTAACGTATGGTTAGACTCGGGTGGAGAGCCAAGGATTAATTTCTAAGAAGAAAGAGGATCAGAGAGCTACAGGCTAACGGATATTATAGCGTAACTTGTAGCTCTTTGGTCCTCTATCTTCTTATGACTTATGGTTGGTCTTTTTTATACTTCCTGTCTTAGACCGTATGGTATGGGACATGTGTGGGATAGCGCCAGGCATAGCACGTTCTGTGATGACTGCTCCACCACACAAAACACACATCAAATTGAAGCGCCATGGACCCTGGCTAGCACTAGGTGCTACTAAAATTACGTCTTTTGCATAGCTTCAGGAATAAATCAATATTCTATCTGTCAGTCCAAACCTGAGCATTTGAGCTACTCCGGGGAAGGTTTTGGAGAGGCGTTATTTGTAGTGGTGTGCACGGGTATTCGGGTAGCCGTGAGGACCTCACGTACACGGGTACAGAATAGTACCCGAAAACCTGAAGTCACAGATGACATCATGTACCGTGCACGTGTACAAATTCATGTAATGGCCTGCATGTCTGCCCAGTGTGTAAGGGAAGGGGTGCATTGTGGTGTTACCGTAGAAACATTACCCGATAGGGTACCCGTGCTACCTGTGGAAAACTACCTGAACCCGATACCCGAAGAACTTGCAACCCGACTCAGCCCTAGTTATTTGTGCATTATGTATGTGTTTGTTTTAAAAGCTATCTAAACACAAGCGTGGCACCTTTGCTTTTTGAAATTTGGTTACAAACAATTTCTGCAACTCTGGACTGCCAAGTACCTAATTGCTGTTGGTGGTCATCCTGCAGCTAGAACAAAGGAAATGTCCTCCAATTCATAGAAAAGGAAAAGGACCAAGGAACTACAAGTTACACTGTTATGTCCACTAACACCACCAGTTACTAAACAATCAGCTCATGCGATAACATTACACGACACTGGCCGACGGTACTGACGTTCTGCAACTAACTGGCGGTCAGTGTCGTGCAATGTTATCGCATGAGCTGATTGTCTAGTAACTGGTGGTGTTAGTGGACATTATAGCGCAACT